TATTCGAACAGAACTTTGATTAGAATTATTCATTTCTGATATAATTTTTTGTCATGCGAAAAACTGTGTTCTTTTTCAGGATAATGAGAAAATAGCTGAACAGCACTTTTGTTAAGTGCATATGATTATTATGTGATATGCCAGTTTGTCTTAAAGTGCAGATATTTTTGGTTATGTGAAAATGATTTCGAAATTGGAACGTTGCAAAAACTATCTGTTACATTGTATTGATCGACTACGCATGTTTTCACTTCTTTTCTGATGGCGGCGAGTCAAATTAAAGAATGAAACTTTAATAAAAATCGTTCAATTTTTCTGTGTGGCTTGATAATGTTGACAACTGAAAGTATTTTTTATGATATGAATTAGATGAAAAAACCAATTCTTTTTGTATAATATTCGTTTTTCATATAATATTGAACGAGACGGTGGAGTAGAGAGTTTCACTACAAAATAATCAAATAGTTTACTTGAAATATTGTTTGAATTGTTGATTTACTTTTCGATTTTTCATTATTCTTTCAATCTCTAACTGTACATATTAAGCAAGAAGCAAAGATGGATAGACTTCTTGCAAAAAAACTTTTTACTTTTAACGTTATTCTTTTTTCTATTGCGTATCAATAGCGTCCATTGCAAGGTTGGTTAAATAGCTGAACAGAACCTTCGTCAAAACCATTCATTATTGTTGTGGCCTTCAAGTATGTCATGAACTATGGACAGTTGGTTTAAACTGAACAAGGAAATTTACTGATTCCTAGTAGGGAATATTCTATTTTTTGATGATATTCGCTCATCTTCGTAGCTGCTGAATAGTGTTTTGCATATTGCAAAATAATTAAATGCAATTTTGATTAAATGAATTTGCATCAAATGTGAACATTAGTTTCGTCACGTCACGTGAACATTTACGTAGATGAACGTGCCATACTTGAACTCTATCTTCCTTAAAGATATTTATTTCAAATATGAACATTACTTTTGTCATGTTCCTTAAATATTCGTGGGAATAAGCACGACGCAGTTGAACTTCATCGTTATCAGATATTTCCTATGTCAACATTATTTTGAATAAGATCAGGTGTGGGTGTGGGTGTGGGTGTGGGTGTATGGGTGGGGGTGTGGGTGTCGGTGTGGGTGTGGGTGTGGGTGTGAGTGCGGGTGTGGCTGTGGCTGTGGCTGTGGGTGGGGGTGGGGTGGGTATAGGTGTGGGTTTGGGTGTAGGTGTGGATGTGGCTGTGAGTGGGAGTATATCTTGCCTTTATTCACACCCACACCCACCCACACACACACACCCACACACACCCCACACCCACACCCTCATCCATACCCACACAGACACCCACACCCTTTATCATATACATATTAACTTTATTCTACATTCTCCTCCATTTCGTCGGTATTGAGGATCTCAGTGTAGATACGTAATAAAACCATATTCACCGATACCCACACCCACATTTTGTTCTATACAAACTACTAAAAAAAGTGACACTCATAGAGAAGCATATAAAAGACATTGCAAGCGTCTTATTTACTAACTCTTATTTCCAAAGACCCTTAATACACTAATTTTCTCATTTTCAATCAGATAGTATACGGTAGCTCGCAAGCCTATCGTCCACTGTTGGCACCGATCTGAACGTACTACAGTAACTGCTACTATAAATGCACCAAAAGGTATGACGTTACTCTCACGTGGACACTTACATTAGCAACTAGTGAGAGACAAGAATATCTTTGGATTGGTTCTTTCCTCACGGTAATATTATTATACGAAAATAGCGAACTTTCTGAACTGTTACCATAAGGACTTGGATTCGGGTGATCCGAATCTACTATTAGTATCTAAAAACTTTTGAGTTTGACTTTTTATCACAAAAGAAAGACTGTTTTTGAGAAAATCGTTATTTTTTCGATAACCTTTTCTTTAATAAACAAAATTCACAAACACAAACAGGAGTGCACCATCAGCTCTGAAACAGGTTTTTAAATGTATCGTGGTCAGATTCATCAAAAGTCAACTATTTTAAACTTATAGATCTCTAGCTTTTTTTTATGAATGAGAAACTTTAATAACACTATCGTGTGGCATGTTTTTCGATTTTCTCGATGATCCTGATTATCGTTTAATAAATAATACAATGTTTCGTAAAAAATCATATTTTGATACATTATTTCTGTTCATGAACGAAGTAAACCAATTATAAAGTGTTTTCTTCGCTTTTTTTTGTAAGCGTAACACGTACCAACACTATTCACACATTTACTAACTAAACATCGGAATATTTGCAAGGTTAAACTATTAAAGTAAGATTAAAAAAATATTCTGCAAACAGTGATCGATCCTATCTACAGTTTACGTAGAAAAATTTCCATCTCATACACATGTCAACCAGTACATAATCGATTCATGAGAAAAATGCACTCATCTCATCTGTTTTTTTTCTTTTTCCTTTTCACATGTTTCTCTCTGTACTACTCTTTTTTTTTCCTCAATATTTATCTCGTTCTATGCTTTCTTTCTCGTTCTAATAATGACTCAATATATTTATTGAAGAAAAGAACGCAAAACTATCTGAGTCATGCTTTAACGAAACAAACTAGACATTCTCTAACGTTCTTTCTCGTTACTCTTTTTTTGTCCACATTGAAGGTTAATGAGTGTCGAACAGCTCTTCTTTATTTCTTCTGTCTTTCATTCGTAACGAGTACATGAATTTAGAACTAAGAAACAAGTAAAAGTCATATTAAGAAGAAATCTATTATTTTTCAGTTATTTTTAATTGAAACAAAGATTTATTAAAAATTAGTTCTCACTATTGAAACTATTTCAACTTATCATTTGTGTAGTTTTTTTCTTCTTATTCCAGTCTTTTGACATTGTTTTGAATTGAAATTAATGTACAAAAACTTATACAAATAGAATTGAAATAGCTCACAGTTTTCCCATGATATTGATTATCTTTCAACATCCTTTTTGAATTATATATTCGATTCATTACAGATATTTATATGTTGTACATGCATTAGAATAAAACTTCTAGTAAGTGTGTGAATATATATGAATTTTTGCTTCATCGATATCCAGAATAAATAAGAGTTACAGAATTCTCGCAACATAATTTTGTTTGAATGACGTTCCTAGAAGCTATATTATATAGATAACAGATTTTAGCCAATTTATTAATTTAAGAGCTGTGTCTTTATCTGCCGTGTGTATACAAACGAAATTGTATGACTTAAAAAATATGAATGATTTACAATTTGAATGTACAATCACAACGAAAAAAAAAAAGTTAAAATACATATTTAAGTAGTCTACCCTTTTACGTTCTATTCTACTTGTGTGTAGATTGGAGAACATACTTAATATTCCTTCGACACTTTTTGAGAATACAATTTTCAAAATATCGTTAACTTTGCCAAAAGTTTGATCATCTTCCTCGAAAAGAAAAACAAATGATAACCGTTTTTTTTTATATCATGTAGTTGTTATATAATTTCTCTTTTTTTTTTTAATTTTTAGATTTAAAAATGACTTCATTAACATTAAAAGAATGTTCGATATGTGAAAATAAATTAAATGAAACAGACGATTTGGTGATCACGGATTGTAATCATATATTTCATCGTAATTGTGCTCAAGAACGTCTTAATATGAAAAAGAAATCTGATTGTCATTTTTGTCATCAAGAGTCGGCACTTGGTAATGCACTATCTCGATTGCAAATTAACAAGGAAGGTGAATGTTCAATATGTGAAAGTTTATGGAATTCAGCAGATGATCTCGTCACTACGGATTGTCATCATACATTTCATTATATTTGTGCTCAAGATCGTCTTAATAAACGAGGTAGAACTGATTGTCATGTTTGTCATAAAGATTCGGCTCTTGGAAATGCACTCTATCTAAAGGATTTGACAAGAAAAAAAGAATGTTCAATATGTGAAAATTCATGGAACAAAAATGATGATATTGTAACTACAAGTTGTAATCATACATTCCATCGGAGTTGTGCTCAAGATCGTCTTAATAAACGTGGTAGAACTGATTGTCATTTTTGTCATCGAGAATCAGCTCTTGGAAATATACTATCTCGAAACACAACAACAGCAACTATTAAAAATCCTCGTGAACAAAATGTGAATTCAATAAAATCAGACAAAACTGTAAGTAATTTTCTTCAATTACACTAACAGGAAGATACAAAAGAATAAGATCAATTGAGAATTTCGACCATTTTATAAAATGTAATAGATTCGCATTGATCTTTAAACTATTTGAGATAAAGACTTTGTATTGTAAAGAAACTTCGAAAAAAATCCATAAAATGATTAGAATCGTATATTCCATTTCTAGGTAGATACAGATACATCTGCTACTTCGTCAATAACAACAGAAAATACAATTGAAAACAATTGGGAATGCAATGAATGTTTAGGCAATAATGAAACATCAAGAAAACGATGTTCTTTTTGTGGAGAACCACGTTACGCTCGACAGACAATATCAACAAAACAATACAATCAAATAGAATCTTCAAATATGATAGGTAAGCCTATGACAACACTTATGTTTGATGATGTTGTGATACTCTAGAATCTGTCTACATTTTTGTCTCGTATTTCGAGCATGATCTTTAAAATAGTCCCCTCTGTAATGGTTATCGATAGCAAGATAACGCCTCTTTTAATATACAGGTAGTCCAAAAAGTATTCGGACACCCATATATACCCTCGTATTCCATTATTTGTCTCGTAGAAGTCCGAGATTTTTTTTACTACAGGTAGCCCACAACTTATAGTATATGCCATATAAAAACAGCAA